AAAACATTCGATTCCGTAAGCTTGTCATGAAGGAATCTATTGACTGACCTCTGCATCTTGGCACACAATGACAAATGGGTTTGCAATTTTCCGCCTGACTGAGGGGCAACAAAGCACATTTCCACTTTCACCGGTAGGCAGTAAGAGTACAGTCTTCCTCTAACATGCTCTTTAACCAGGCAGGGAGCGTTACACGTAGCCGGACTCTTTCCTCTGGTGTTTGCAGTTGTTATGGCCAAAATAGACAATTACACTTGGTATGATGTATCAAGACAAACATACTTAAGTGAAAGCCTGACTTCACACAGTGAGGTAATCTGTTGATGAAGAGAGGAAGGCTGTGTTGTTTTTAGAAGTAGTAGTAATTTAGGGAATCTTTGATATTTAATCTAAAATATAACATAGCGTTTCTTGTGTGATTGATTGTCATGAATCTGCATCATTTAGATTGTTGAGCTTTTGTTATAATATTTAATCTGTGTGCATTTATGGCAGCCATTTTTTGTGATTCATTCAAAAATGTTTTTGGACTAAAAGTTTGGCTTTAGTCTATAAAATGTGTTGTCTTTGTGCCCACAGCTGTGCAGTTTATACACTTTTCATATATTGCCCATTTTACTCGTCTTGTTTTTAGGTGCATCGCTGATATTATTCTATAGTAATTCTATAGTAATATTCCTATTTATTCTTTTTTTGCACATTTTGCACCATTTAACTACAAATAAATGGTTACTGGGCATGACATTCATTATGCAGTTTCCAAAGTCCATTTGTTTTAGGTCATGCATTTGTTTGCCACTTGAATTATTGTGTCTATATGTCTTTTATAAAGCCACTATATGAAACATTAATATATAAATAAGTTAGTTGTCTCCCCAATCAAAAAGAAAGATGACTTCAGATCTTCACCACTCGTACATTATGTTTGCAACGTTCAAAGCTTTTTATTCAGTTATGCACATTGTTCGAATCATGCCTAATATCATTTCGTATCTCAGAATCCTGCAGGCCTTCACACAGTCTGTGTTGCAGTACATCCATCTTGTTTATGAGTGCGCAGCATCGTTAGCGACGGCTGGTAATTCCACGCTGCTAACCAGTGTTTTCACTGCTGATTGAATTGCTTCCAAAGCCAACAAGAATGTTTAAAGTGGAAGCTATGGAAATGAACCAATTGACCTTTTTTCTGACCCTAAAGATCTCCACACCCTGTGGGAGCAGAAACTGTCAGGCGGCACCAGAGTCGGGAAATCAAAGGGATCCATGCTGTTATTAGTGCAGTGGCACCCTGAGACCCACTGAAACTCCTCCAGCATTGCCTCCACACACACATTGTTGTTACACAGCTATCATTTCAACATGAGGATTTCATTTTGTATTAGGAATGTCAAACTATTCACAGATTGATCATAAATCAATCACACTCACAAATTTTATGCCCTGTCTTGGCTTGATTGCTACCCAAAATTTCACCAGACTCTCTCTCTCTCTCTCTGTGTGTGTGTGTGTGTGTGTGTGTGTGTGTGTGTGTGTGTGTGTGCCCTGACGGGGGAGTCCAGCAGAGCAGTCCAGCAGGGCGATTATGTCCTGTAGGGATAACCTGTCATGGTGCTGAGAGCCTAATTGATGCCTCATGCTTTTCAGGGGGCAATTATAGCGCCAAAATGTCAAGACCTAATTTGTGACTCTGTAATGTGGACCCATGGGCCAGAGGATGGGGTGACACGGCTGCTCACACACTGGTTTGGTCAGCAGATGTGAGGGGCTGGGTGGGGGTTAAAACTAGAGGCTGGAGGAGATGAGAGGAGAACTTTCAATTTTCAAAAACCTAAACTCCAAAATTAACTGAGACCATCTCCTTAAATGTGAAACTATTTCCATTCAGTGTTGTGGCTGGTTGAAACAGAGCTCATTTGTGAAATGGAAAAATATAAATGCTCAAGTAAAGTACCTCATTTTATAGTGTTATAGTGAGGTACTTCAGAAAGTGCAGTCAGAGTTTAATATCATTTTAGCCAAAAGGACTTGGACATGTTCATCTTTTAATGTTTAATATTCTATGAAATAAAAAGATTATTTATTGTTTTATCAACCACAAACCTTCCTGCTAGAGTTTATATCTCTTCAAAACCCTATCAGACAGAAATATATATTACAGTACATTATACATATTATATAAGTGTATCCATCTCCCTTTTACCTCTTGTCGACCTCCCTCCATCATGTTGCAGATCCTACAGACGGCAGCTGTGTGTTTGTTGTACCAGAGCAGATTCCTCTGCTCAGTCTCCTCCAGGTACAGTCCTGCGTGTTCAGATCCCTTTAGCAAAACAAAACACTGTCAGTCACTGCGAACGCTCAACAGTGTCGTTCACTGCCCGGGCCTCGTTGGAAGTGAGAGACTAAACTCTGCCGAAATGACAGTGCCTCAGCTTCTTCCTCTTCTTTTCCCCACAACACCTAAACATGGTTGTTTTCTACTAATGTCTCCATGGAGATGCAAACAGAGGAGCATATTTTCCACTCGAGCTGACAGCTTGCGATGTGGAGTGTCAGTAAATCAGGTATGCTGGTCTAATTGCTGCTTGCGGAAGGCAGACCACAAAATCCTCTTAGCTATGACACTGAAAATGATTGAACTCAAGCGGAGTACAATGCAGCAAGTGTGAAAGATGATTTTCTTTTTTTCAGGCCAAAAAACATGAGTGATGGATGGATGGAAGGATAGATGGATGGATGGGAAGATATTTGGGACCACTGGCTGCAGATTTTTCCAGAATGCCTCTCTCTCTCTCTCTCTCTCTCTCCGGACTCGGATGAAAGCCCAAAAGTATCAAGTGGATAACGCTATACTTACACTTCTGCTGTAATCCCTATAAACACACATGCAGCTCATAATTTGTGCGCACGGCAATTTACTAAGGAATAAACAAACAACAAAGAGCCTGAAATCAATAGTTGCAGGATTCAAATGACACAAAGCTGCAGGCACCATCCCTGCGCAAACACACTCTTAGAAGTGGCCACGGCTTTAGAGCAACAGGTGAGCTCCTCGGCACCTCCCCTGTCTTCTCCAGTGCAGCCTTCTAAATATAGAAATTATGCTCTCTGATAATTGGGGGCAGACAACAAAGCCGGTTATATTTCCACCCTCCTCCTCCTCTTCGTCCTCCTCCTCCTCCTGGAGCTGCTAAGTCATATCCCCAGCTGACAAACAGCGGGGCTGAGATCAGAGTATGAGAGCTTGAGTGCTGAGGGAACACCTGCGCTGTCTGACTGGACTGTGAAGATTGACATGGAAGATCACTGACTTCCACACCTGCCCGTGGACCCATGCCATACACACACACACACACACACACACACACACTTGATTGGGTTTCCTCGAGAGCCCTTTAAGACCGCTGCTGCTGAGGAGGTGGTGAAAGTCAGGGAGTGTCCATTAAACGTGTGAGACGGTCCTCAAAGAGTGGCTGCGGATGAGGGGTTTAAGTGTTTTCAGCGAGGAGCTGCAGACCACCTGGAGGAGGGAGAGGAGGTGGAACAAAAGCTTCTGTCTAAGGGCCAGGTTGACTCCAAAAACATCGGTTAAACAAGTGCCAAAGAGCACTTCAGGGCATCAGGTATCACAAGTCAGGATTTCCAGTGTGTTTAGAGAGATGACCTTCAAAATGTCAAAGGGGGGTGGAGGGGGTTACGCTCTTAGATTTGCACAAAGTGTGCTTTTCATGGCCACAAAGGTAATGGCAAGGAGCTCTGCACTGAAACTTTAGTCACTTTGGAGGTATTGCAACAACAACAACAAAAAAAAAGCTGCAGGTCAAAGTCATGGACAAACTATTAAGCTTGGGAAGATGGGACAGGACAGGAATGAAGTACACCCTGTCCATAACTTTCATGCTCGTTAACTTTTCTGAGAAGCTAAAGAAAGCCGAGCAGTGACAGTATCTTTCCAGAAAAACACGCATCACAATCCCTTTTTCATGTTGTAATAGGCTTGCGTGTGTTTACCCGGTGGACAGGGGATGTCCATGTGTACGCAGGTTATAATACACTGTGGGATGCTGTCATTAATCGACGACAGAAGCGCGTTGATGTTCAAGGTGTGCAAGTGGGAAAGTCCCACAGCGTCGTGCTGCAGACAGGAGAGAGCTGGCAGCGGGGTTGACTCCCCGTATCGAGACACCCCCACTGGCTCGCCATCACACACACTTGCTGAGATCACAGGCTGAGCTTTCATGCTTCAACACAGATCTGCTCCCAACCGTGGAGGTAACTGTGCACAGATATGAGATAGTGGGTTTAACAAAATAAAAAAAAAAAAAAGTTCAGTTGCTTTGAAATAAAAAGGACGTTACACTTTCCATTAAACATTTTTAACATATGAGCAGAAAAAGACTTAAAGATGCCGCGGCCTCCTTTACGTTCTATGGTTAGATATTTCAACAAGTCTGCAATCCTCAAACTGTCAGCAGAGGTTACTCAATCCTTATTGCTCTGACCTCCACTTTTATACAGCTGCTAAAGTTGCAGAGCCTGAGCTAAAGGTCAGATTTTATTTGGTCCTGATCATGTTGTTGTGGGACCTCTACATTCACAGCGTTCAGGAGGGACACTTTGAAGTTTTATGCATGCATCAGGTCTGCGACTCATCCCCTGGCATAATGGTGTCCATAAAGAAAGACAACATTGATCTCGTAAGCAGGTTTATATGTTTAGACTCTGAAAGACAAAAGCAACCAGTAAAGTATACTTCCTATTAAATATTGTGCTGTTAAAAGTAAAAACATGGGTTGTTTAAAGGAAGATTGATTATGAGTGCACACAAAATACCTTCATCTCCTATCATACAAGCTGACAAAAAAAGCTTTTTGATCACATTTTGAGCAATTTATTGTTTGTATTGTCAACTTCAGATTCTGCTGACATACATGTAACAGTAGTGTGGTTATAATCACTGTGTCAAAAAGACGAAGAAATTTTAAAAAGTTGATTCACAGTTATCTGATTTTGATAAAATGCATTTCAGATGTGAGGATCTTTTCCAAATTTTGCTAACACGTTTCATATTTTTGCCCATATTACATCATATCACTAGCTGAGCTGTTCTCAAAATAAAAGACATAACGGTACAGTGTCTCAGTCTTTATATAATCGATACAGTTTCTATATTGGATCTAACTGTAAAAATATATTCTCAAATAAATAAATATATAACATAAATATATGTATCTAAAAGGAATAAATAAATTGTTACGCTTTGCTCTTTTTAAAATGGTCTAGACACAGGTAAGAAAAAAAAATGGATTCCTTCAAAGTCCTTCTGAACAAACTGCGGCTCTCTGACACAGTACCCAAATAAAAAGTACCATCTTGTGATACTACAGATTCCCACAGACTCCACATCAGCTGACGTCTCTGTCCAACAGACAACAGAGGAGATGCTCCCTGACCATTCAGCTCTGTTTCCCATTCGTCTCCTATTCCACGCAGGTACTTTTTAGGGTCGTCCGGCCTCTGAAACAAACGACCCCCTCATGCCGAGCTTGCAGACATTCTAGCCTGTCTTCCTGGCTGCTGAGAGATGGCCCATGCATTCCTACAAGAGGCCCTGGTACCTTTATCCCTGCCGGTCGGGCTGCTGTCCACAAGCCTTGCACCGGCCACATCCCTGCCTGCGTCCCTCTTTCTCTTCTCTGCTCCCTGCCTCTGAGGGTTTTAGCAGCTATTCCTGATCTGCACCAGTCCTCCGGGTCTCAGCTGTGTCCCAGGATATCCCTGTACAGCTCTGGCACACGGTCAGGGTCCACAGGCCTGGGCAAAAAGTGTGTAAATTTCTGGTGCCGCCTGGATTTAGTCCCATCTCTTGGTGTCCCATCTTTATTCAATGCCACAAAATAACGCGTCCCTTTGTCTCCGTGTTTGTACAGGTTGGAGGAGTATGTGTTGTACCAGTTCTCCTCAAACTGCTCCCTGAAGACACATTCAGCTGTGAGCTTCTCCTGAAAACAAAGGAAACAACATAAGAGAAATCATGTGAGAAAAACTAATGACACATTTCTTTACGTCTTTAAATGTATCCTCATGGAACTCAACTTCTCCAAATATGAGATGCCTGGTGTTATCACATAGTTGAAAATGAGGATTTGGGCAACGTGAATAAGAAAAGATGGTACTTACAGAGCCATACAGCTCTCCTTTGTCATTCATCCCCAGATAGAGTCCACTGTCCACCCCTCTAATGCTTATCAATCCAACAGCAAGGCTTATGAATTCCAAAATACCTGGAGAAGAATAACACAGTTGTTCTGTACAGACTGTCAAAGATGAAAGAATATTATCAAAGAAACTGAAAAACCCTGATTCAACACTGTCAGCAGCCTATTGGCACAATTAACACATTTTAATAAACAGAATTACATCATACATTTTTATTCTCATCATGTTATTCACGCTTTCCTTGCTGCTGATTATTTTCATTTTTGTTTGTTTTATTATGTTGCTAACTTTATAACACTTTATATATATTTCTACATTAAAAATAATAATCTCTGTGTTTACCAAAACGACTGTGGTCCTTCCTCGTCCCTTGCACTGTGCCATCCGGAAGTATTTCCAGATGAAATCCAGTTCTGCAGTATAACTGTCTCCTCCTCAGAATCCCTTTGAGGTGCGTTAAATCCGCCGTGGTGCTCCGGGAGAGCCTGTCCCCAGGTATGAGGTGCTCCCCCAGAAGCGTCGGACTGTCCCCGAGAGGGGTCAGGAGGAAATGGGACCCGACGTGTGCGACACCATCGATGCCGTGCAAGACGCCTCCAACTTCCCCCAGAGCAGCAGCAGCAGCAGCAGCCATCGCGTCAAAGCTCAGCGGGTAAAGTTCAGTGTGGAGGTCCGGAGGGAGCGCACTTGCGTAGTAGGCTACCTGGTTTCCACTGTCACTTATTGCATGTTTACGTCCACCTCCTCCGTTACTTAGCACATGTCCCCGTGGTGCAAGGACACGCGGACGCACGGATTTCTCTTCCCTGACATGAAACACTCACCAGATCTTCGCTGCTTTCTGCACCGATTTCCTCTTTTTTCTGCCTTTATCACAGCGTCTTCATCAGTTGGAGGTGGGCTGCAGTTGCTCTTCAGAAAGCCCTCATGTTGCATACCTGTTCACAGCGGATGGTGCTGCCTCAGCGGAGCCGTGGAAGAGACGCAGCAGAGAGGGATTCAGAGCTGAATAAACGCTGCAGTGCAGGTAAAGGAGCTCCTGGAGGTTTTGCGCTCAAAGTGGCAGGGGTGGTGAGGCAGGTGCAAAACCACAGGACTAGTAATGGGCGGGGCTGTCACAGTTCAGACGTGCCCTGGCAGGGATTTTTTTTCCTTCTCCCAAAGGCATAAAATAAGAGAGACACAGAGAGGGAGAGTTGATAGTGGGCTGGGGGCTTAAACTGAGCTCTGACATCACTTAAAATTCAAATCAAACCCGCTAGTATGAAACACAAGACACTTTAAATCAACCCACGAGTGATGAGAAATAATTTAGTGTCAATTTTCATCTTTATTCCAAATATTTCAACATTTACTTCACTCGCACGAATTTGACGCCCTTTAATTACAGGGCGACTTGAAATACCCACGGCATTTCTCGCGAGCTCGGAGCAGCAGGCGGCTCGCGCTGCTCTGCTCTACTCTGCTCTGTGTGTTACCGGTTACGACACCTCAGTGTAAACAGCCATGGCTGCCCTGCGCAGGCTCATCCCTTCACTCACTAACAGCTCCAGAACAGGGACACGGGGACAACAAACGTCTTCTCCAGCGGCCAAAGCGCTGAAAGTCGTTGCAGCTGGAGCGTGTGTCACCGCCGCGGCCGGTGCTGTTTATTACTGCTGCTCGTTTGTCGGTAGGCGCTCCGGACTGAAGAGCCATGTCGAGGCTCGGCTCTTGCATCTGGCGTTGCCGTCAGTTTCTGCCACCGATAAGGTACAGTGGGGCATTTATGAAGCAGCGGGGCTTTAGTGTAAACATTCAGCTCACATACAGTTCGACCGAAAAAGTCAATTCAATCTCAGTTTCAGTTTCTATGAGAACATGGCAGTAATGGCCAGAGCATCTGCATGTCCACTAATTAGCTCGTCTCACATCATTACGTGCACGTGAAATACAATAATACCGGTGATAATGTGTCGTCACCATCAGGAGCTATCCGCGACCTTTGGTGCTGAAATGGCAAAATGGTCAAAGGCGTCTGAGATCACGTGACCTAATGGCTACCATAATTAAACGTTTTGCCTGCTTTTGTCGCATAATTAACACTCAACCTTAGTGAATTTAAGACAAACTAGATCTATTACTCATATTCATTGTTCAATATTTATATTATTTAAGGATGGACAAGAAATAATGGAAAACCTGACTATATTATGTGGCTCATACAAAAGCCCAACAATGAACTACAGGCTACCTCTGAGAAGCTTTCAGTGTAAACGTTGATACTATCGAAGAAATTATGATTGTTTCTGAGGTCATACTTAAAATTTGTTGTGTTGTTTTTGGATTTAAGTTGTTCTTATTATTTTGAGCACTCCATGAAACTAAAGAGGTGGAGAGAACATTTTCTAATTAATTCTCATAGGTAGGACCAGAACTAATGATTATTTTCATGTTGATTAATCCATTGATTATTTATTCAAATAACTGATTCATTCTTCTTTGTCAGAAACCAGTGTGCAACACATCACAGCTTATTACAATTTGGTGTCTTCATATAGCCGACACAAACCCAAAGATATTCTCTTTAAAGTCATACAAAACATAAAAGCAGCAAATCCTCACAGTTGAGAAGCTTAAGCCGGTAGGAAGTGTATCTATTTAGAGCATAAATGATGAAGTCGATTAATCTATTACTCACAAAGTGGACATTTCTGGCACAGTGTCACCTACTTCAGAGGTGCAGGAAAATGGTAAATAGAAACAAAGTGTCAAAACTCAAGCCACAACTTTATTGTGAGACCAATGTGTTTCAGTTTATGACCTCCATCACTGTCATCATATGTCAATCATTGAATTTACTAATAATTCCAGCAGTAATTATTAGCTTTACCCAAGTTTTCGCAGCACTGTTGTAATTATTTGCATGTCAGACCTTCAACTTATGTTGTCTGCCCCTTGTGCAATGTGTATCTGGCCCTATTAGCCTGCATACCAGCACTTCTCAGTCTCTCGCTCAGACATGTGTTGACAAAGTTGAAATGATTTTCACGGATCACAGAAGATGTAAACAAACATGTAAATCAGATCTGGCTTGCACAGGAGATTGTTTGATATGTGCAGGTAGGAAGGAGGTAAAGCTGACTGGTGTCCACAGGCAGCAGGAATTCAGGGACACATGAAACTGGACACTGGGGCTTGGTGGAGGGGCTGACATTTGATGAGAGGTGGGGGTGGTTAGAGGGGGTTTAATGGTTAAGCAGAGGGGGGCACACATTCCCTGGGTGTTTGCTCTGTGCCCAGCGGACCTGGCACTGTGCCACCTGACAGAGAGATCCACTCTGTCTTCACCAATCCAGCCTTCTGATCTGGCTGCGTCTGAACAGTTGTAGGGACATTATCTGGTGCACAGGGATGAAAAATAGAGCTGACATAACATGCGCCCCATTACTGAATTAAAGCATGGGCCTCTTTGTTGTTCCATGTGAGCGAGGCTTTTCATGACAAGAAGAGCTTCCGTGGATTTCATAAAAAGCATCTTTCAGACAGTATTATCACTGTTGATATGATGCGCAATATTTCATGATGGTGTGTGTGTGTGTGTGTGTGTGTGTGTGTGTGTGTGTGTGTGTGTGTGTGTGTTCACAGGCAAGGACCTATGGTCTGGATGATGGAGATGTGTACATGTCATCCTATGAAAACAGGTTTCGCCTGTTTGGTTCAGTGGAGTACGAGGGCCAGCTCTACATGACTCCACTCAACTTCATCGAATCCGTCACTCTGAATGAACCAAAGAGTGAGTGAGCTTCTTTTACTCAGCACTAAACATTCAAGAGAGGTTTGTAAATCGCTCAGAGGAGTAAATGTGAATATCTGTCTGTATCTATAATTGGCTCATTTTCTCTCTTTTATCATCGTTTGTGGGTTTTGGATTATTGAACTGGAAACCCTCACCATGAGCTCTGGAAACTTATGATGGCTATTCTTTTAAATCATTTTATAGAACAAATCATTTATCTGTTAACTGAGAAAATAGTCACCATATTAATTGATCATTAAAGTGTTAATTAGCTCTATTGATGTTAAACATTTACTTCTTTTTGAGCAGAGTTCCAGGAACTAAGCGGTCATGGGAACAAAATTCAGGGATGAATATAGGAACCAAAATCTCTATCCCCCAAAGTCTATCTGTGCTTGTGTTTCCATCGTAACTGTCAACATTAGACAAATTTAAAGGATAAAAATTGTTGCCGTTATTTGACATAAAGTTCTCTTTAGTACACGACTGCATTAAATCAAATCAAATTAAGTTTTTTTTCTCTCTCTTTTCACTCGCCTGATCTCTTTATCATCAGAGTAGTTGACAATGTAACTTTGTTTTTAGCATCAATAATAATCACAAGCAACATTCATCGTAATATTAATTGTAGTGGGACTAGAAGTGCTTGCTGACCACATGAATTAATTCTGTACAAAAGCTGCAGAATCCTGGACTTCGACCAGAGTTCGACCAGTGAGCAACATTAAAGACTTCACACTCTTTTGCAGTAGTTCCTGGGACATCAGAAAGTCAGAAAGTTTACAGAGGACAGACTTCTTCAAGGTCAGGAATTATGGAAGAACTATGTAGACCATGGTTCCTCCAGTTGAAGCACAGGTAAAGTTCCTGTGACGGTTCTTGGGTTCCTTGAAATGTTTCTTTTATGGAAACAAGCCAATTCAATCTGTTTCAGATGCAGAATATAGAGTCTGTGAATGTGGTTTTAAAATGACTAAAACTCCCGAACCAACCAACAAAGATGTTTAGTTTATTATTACACATATATTTGCTTAAAAGATGACAGAAAAAATTAGGCTAATCGATTATCAAAAATACTGTGCAATTCCTTTTCTATACATCTGCAAGTCAATGAATCAACTTATTAATTCCCCTCTCATAGTCTCATAGCAGCAGATGTACCTTTCTTTATTCTTCCTGCACTGTAAGCGGGTGCTGCACTGCAGATGCATCTCAGCCTGGATAATCTTTGCAGCTGTGTGGAGAAATCAGCTATATTTGTCAGCAGCCATTTGCTTAATTACATTTCCGTCAAGTCATCAGATAAATCCCTGCTCCTTCATCCTCCCATTACTCGAGATCTAAAAAAAAAAAACCTCACTGTTGTTTGCTGGAAGAGGACTTGTTGCTGAGGGCCTGGGAAGTGTCATCAGACAATAAGTTGCGGCTTGAAGTGCTTCAGTCATAACACCTGCATAAAGATAGACATCTTTACCAGCAACCCCACTTTTATGGCTCATTTATATGGCAACAAACTCGCAGAGACCCAGAGAGACCAAACAACTGAACATGGATGTCATAAATGTAATGATAAGGTATTCTGATTACTGTGATTGATTATGATTTGGTGTGTGGCCCAGCTGTAATGTTTGAACAGGGTTTCACTGGCCATACATATAATGAGGAAGTGAAACACGAGGCACTAATGGAGCCACAAACCCTTTGACATCATCATCCTCTGGTTGCTAATGGCTAATGTGTTGCAAAATGGTAATCAAGGTGTTTTATGGTTATATTGTGGCTGTAAAAAGAAGAGTTTTGTAATTCCTGTGGATGTTTGGGATGACCTTGGACGTGAACATTATGCATCAGTGATGGTTTAATTTCAGAGACGACACATGGAGCAGAGGTTGGTGCAGTTATGGCCACGTAGCAGTGAGTCATTTGAGTCAAAACCCAAAGTGCTGTCGTTTAAATTATTCATATGAGATCCACAAGAATTGCAGGTTATGAAACATTGATTGAAAGCATCAAATACATGCCTGCGCTGAGGACAATATCCCCGTTTGCTCAACTTTGGTGGAGAGCGAGCCGTCACATGGAAATCATAATCCCAGCTTTATACGCAGGCTTTAAAATGTGTCAGTGAAGGGTTATTGTCACTGTTATTGACGTGATTCCCCAGCCTGGTGTTTTTTTACGACACATCCATCTTATCTTCTGCTTTATTGATCATTGGAATGTGTCCATGCAGATATGAAGCTTATTTTGCTGTCCACATAAACACCTGTTTTCACTTTTGTTTCCCAGTTCTGTATCCTGGAATATATACATGTAGAACTCAGCATTAAAATGTAAAACCCCACAAACAGAAGAGCTGCTAACTGGTAATCTTATGTTTTTTTTAGGTAAAAGAGCATGGAGGTCACTTACAAAAAAGGTGCGTTGATCTGTTGTTCACAACTCCTATTAATATATTTATCCATTGAAGAGGAAGCTCGAGCTAAATAAATCCTCAGTCTGTCACTTCTTCACTTTTGTTGATCTTGAGGAGAATCTCTGCTTTACGTCTACAATTACTGTAATGCCTGTAATGCCAACAAACATTGTGTTAGATGCTGTAAATACCCAGGAATTAGAAATGAATGAGTGGTGTGGGATTTTCCTGTGCTCTCTCAGGAATTAGACAAGATGATGGCTGATACCCCGCCTGTTTGGAAAGGATCATCTAATTTGTTCAGGAATCTTCGTGAACGAGGTAAGGGAACCTACCTGATGTATTAGAGCTGTACACGTAAATCCTTGAATGTTGCTGAATAATTCCCCTTTGTGCTTCTATTTTTTTAAGCTGTCATATTAAGGCCTCCCATGTCTTGTTCAGAGTGTGCTCTGTTGTGCATGTCAGCCTCACATAATCTAGAGCAGAAAGTGTGTGCTGTAAATGCTATCTTATCTCTCCATCAGTCCGGTAACATGTTGTAGATTTATTCTCAGGTAACCTTTGCAGGAGGGCCTAGTGCATTGATAATATACAGAAAGTTCCTCCCTTGTCTAATAAAAATTAAATAACTGTGAAGTTTCCTGGAAAGAACTATATCATTTCATAATCCTGGAAAAAAAAGCTCCTTTTAAACCTACGCACATGAATCATGAATTATTCCTAGACAAACATCACATTTTAGCATGTCTAGCTCAGCTGTTAAACAACTCTTTGTGACAGTAGCAATTAACTGGAATGAATTAATTGAAGACTCTAAAATGCCACTGATTAGACTTGAGTGAAATTTTAGCTTCATTTGCATCACAAACCTCCATCAGACGTTAGATAGGGAAGGTAAAAAGGTTTTCTACTGATGATGACACCAGGTTTTTTTGCTCCTTTTTTACTTATGTGCATTATACCACACACAGTAAAAACTTAGCAAACATTTCAGATCATGGTATTCAATTAATCTTTATTCATAATTTTTCAAGCAAAAATATCAAATATTCTCTGGTTCCAGTGGCCCATTTGTGAGGTTGTGCAGCTCATATATGGTGGTTAAGTGAATGTGTTTGGGTTTTGGACTGGTGGTTGGACAAAACGAGCAATTCTTTGGGCTCTGGTAAATTGTGACAGGCTATTATTCACATTTGATAAACAAAATGATTAATACATTTAATAGAATTATTATTAGTTGTAGCCCTAAACAATTTGGGTGCTATTGCTCAACAAATGCTGACAGCTTTGGGAGGGAAGCAGTAGGACTTGGCTTCAGGACTTCCCAATCTGTTATTATGTTAAGTGATATTCATTGCACAGATTCCTCAAGCTTGTAAACAAATGGCACCGTATTTGAGCACTGCACTCGGCACATATGGAGTCTTCATGGGTGTTTTTGAAAACAGAATCTGATTCAACTTAATGCGGTTTGTGAAACTTATGCTCTCTTCAGTTCTTATTAACGTTGTGTGAAGAAAATGAAGTCATCATTGTGACTGAAACTCTTTTTTAATTTTCCCACCTGGCCTGCACACTCCCGCTCAGTAGGTCAGACGAGCCAGTGGAGCATCAGATCTCACTGTTCTGCTCTCTACCCTGTTGCTTTAGCTAAGTGCCAATGCTGGGATTTGGGGCTTTTAATCCTGCTGTTAAACGTTGTGGCTTTGTCAGAGAAAAAAGGACTGGATTGATCTGTGAACAAAGCGTTGCTTTAGAGAATGAGGGAGCTGTTTGAACCCAGCTATGTTGAGACATGTCCCACTGGCCACCCCCCTGATCACCATGGACATTATGAAGCCTAAGAATGGCATTGGATTACATCTCCGGGACTGCCACTCTGTATGAAGTGTTTCTGTGGAATTCTTTGTATTGTCTAACAACATCTACTTGAGCTCAGAGGCTGAGCTGCAGGGAGGAGGGGGGCTCCCTCCAGGAGTGAAGGTGTGTGGTATTGGAGAGACATGGCTGGAATCTTAAAAGTTTTTTTTCCTCTTCTCAACCCATTTAAGCTTTAAAGGCTTTGAAGCTAGAGATCTGTTGTCATTATAAGGCCGTACCTGCCAAACATTGAGAGCTGGGGCGAGAGAACGGAGCACTTTGTCGTGGGGAATTTTTATATGAACTTTGTCTAATGGCATGCATCACTAATTCTCTTTTCACACCCCAGTTTGTATGTGTTTCAGAGGTTTTTACATCATCCTATTAGCAGCATAGTTTCCGCCTCTAGAGGAAATGTAAGACAGAGTAAAAACTCCATCTTTGTTTGCCAGTTTTTTTGTTTTTTTCCCTTTAGTGTTCCTCTCTCTGAAAATATCTCCCTGCAGCAAACCCTGTATTCCCTGAGTTCTTTTCCCATAACACCCAGAGCAGTCACCCAGAACTATCTGAGCTCGATTCTCTATCTTCCCAAGCAAACAAAAGCTTGGGAATGCTTTCAGAGTCAGAGGGGAGAAGCCTCCTGAGTCGGCGGAGATGTCTCCTGACACTTACTCTTCCCTTCTCCGTGTCACACAACAAAGGGAGCTGAAGGGCCCGACACAAAACCTGAATCGGCCATTCTCAATCAGTGACAGATCACTTGAGAATGTATTACACCTTGTTACCCAAACACGATCAGAAGCCGTAGGCTTAAAATTTGTTTGGGTTTGTGTCCAGATCGGTCAGCTCAGTTGTAAAGCTCGTGTTTGTGTGAGAGGAACACCAAGCATGAAGTAAAAGGCACCTTTTAAGATGTTATCAGTGAGCGCGAGAAGATTACTCTTGTCTGAAGGCGTGCACTGTTTCTTTGGGTGGCTTATTCATCTCGGCTTCATGACTTTGAACATCTGTAAACACCTCGTTGTTAATGCAATTTGATGCTGTCTTGTGCGGAAAAGGGTACATTTGGTTTTTGTTTCTCAGCTTGACTAATTTTTCTCTTTTTCCCAGGTGTCATTAGTTACACAGAGTACCTCTTCCTGCTCTGCATTTTAACAAGTAAGTATATATTTGAATTTACTTATATATAATTGTCTTGGAAATTATTCAGAGATTAAAAGGTGACTGTCCAATGTAATTCATTTTTGTTTGATTTCAGAGCCCCAAGCAGGCTTCAGGATTGCTTTCAACATGTTTGATGCAGATGGGAATGAAATGGTGGACAAAAGGGAGTTCTTGGTGGTACGGACCACATCTTGATAATTGGATATAACAAAATGCAGTTGATCATTTATGTTACAGTCTGCATAAGAACGTGTCATCTTCTCTCCAGCTGGAAGAAATTTTCCGCAAGAAAAAAGATCGAAAAGAAGTTACTGAAGACGAAAGACTGGACCATCAGGTATGAGTTTTACTAAACTATTACTAAAATTATAAAAGTATATTTATGTATATTTTTATTTACAATGGAACAATTATGTGTAATGTTAAAGGAATTGGTCATAGTGACACAACCGGTAGTTATCATCCTCTCAGCTTCACGGAGCTTTTTAGCATCTTTCAGCTCATTGTTTTGGTTTTCAGGACAGCAGTGTTTTTTTCCTCAACCTCCTCTCTCTCAGCAGCAGGCAGCTGGTTCAGCAAAAAAGGCTCTAATAGTCAAACATGTAGAGACCAAAACAGGGCGAAAAGAACAGCAAATATTTTACTTACATTCACAAGATTCCCTGACTCCAAATAAATACTAATGTCGGTAGCTGTTTTTCTAACCTGCAACAACATTATAACATTCTGCTGCCTCAGAGTGGCCAAAAAAATCAATTAGTGTAGGTCTAAAGCTGCACTAATCATGGTTATGAACTGACAGAGAATTTTGACCAGACCCCTCAACTCTATGAAACACTTAAGCATCTCTTAGCTCATTGTTTTTTTGTTGTTTTTTTTGCAATTTGCAATTTTACAGTTTTGGTTCAGTCTCAAAGCTCCTATCGGTCCCATTTTCCAGCAGAAAAGCTGTGATAAACCCAGTGAACAGTACCTGCCGAGCTCCATGCGGCGGACAGGCGATGTTGGCAACTAGCTGGTGAACACAATGGAGCAATTAGCAGCTAAAGAGCCAGATATTTCCCTCAGTAGTCGCTGGAGACCAAAGCAGAGCCAAAAGAGAGTGAATACTGGACATCAGTTGAACAGAAACGTGACCTCAAGTGAATGCTGACGAGGCTCCAAGTCTGCATGATGTGTACATTGGATATCGCTTGCTATATCGGCCGAATAAGGTGATGATAGTCAGTGTTGTGTTCACAGCTTCATCCATACAACATGGTAGGTTTTTGCTTGCAACACTTGCAGTTTTCCTAGAGAGAACGCAGGCTGCACATAGGTGAATGTGGTCATACAGGGTAAAACATGCCTGAGGCTTTCATCTCTTTAAGGCTGTCTTATGCCGCATGCAGGTGGATGTAAACAGGCAGAGCTGAGTAGGGCGATAAGAGCTGCTCTTTGAGGTCTTATCACACAAACACAACATGGAGGAGCTTACTCTGCTGGGACAAACGTTAGCATCTTTGGACAGTCTTGAATTAATCTGACGCCCGTATAAGCATCAAAAAGATCATTAGAATGGGTACTCTAGATTTGGAAATATAATGATGCTTTGCAAAAACACAGCTGAGGGTGAAGACTCTGGGTGCATTCATAAAGCTGAAGAAAAGACGGACTAATCTTGGTTGACTGGTAAAGTTTCATCAAATAAACTTGACGAAAAAATCAATTGATAGCTTACAAACTAATTTCCCACCATCTTCCTGTTGGTGAATTATGAATGAACCTCCTGTCATGCATGCACCTTCTCTCTTTTGCATTTCAGATCTTGCAGCTTTACGGTCATCGCAAATCCCAGCCACACAATGTGCGTATTGTTCTTTTTCCCTGAAGGAAAATGTTCTGCTTGTTGCATGTGTTTTTGGCATACAGTCTCCCTAACCCGAAAATGTTTTTGCATAGTGAGTTAGCATAGAAAACACAACTGACACCACCCGTATTTGTCTCTGTTAACACCAGATAGCCTCATTCACATTCACTGAAAATGAAATACATCGCTGTACTTCAGCATTATCTGATATATATATACATATATGTGTATATATATGTATATACGTGTGTGTGTGTATGTGTGTGTGTGTGTGTTTGTGTGCGTGTGTGTGCGTGTGTGTGTTTGGTAGTGGAAGGGGTGCAGCATAGATGATTTATGTACTTGCCTTTTGTCAGCGTTGGGCGAGAGATTCCACTTCAAAAAGCTCTTACCTGAAGACTGACAACGTTTTCACCCGGACCCCCATGTTTTATTTTTACAGTTTCTTGAGGAGTGGTATTTGGGCTCAGGTTACCTTTTGAGATGGGTTTGACCATGAAGATGGCAGTCAGAGAGGAGAAGCAGCGCTGTGAAAAGCACTCAGCACACACAGAGAGGAGCCTACAGCTAACACAGGGACAGACCCATCCTTTCAGAGTGCTGTTTGAAGACTTTACCTTTAGGTGTGTCTTTTTTGTTTTGATTCCTCGTGCCTTACTGTAGGTATCTTTCCAGCAAAAAAGTTCAAAAGTCAAACCTTTTCAAAAAACACATAACAGGCATGTCTTCAGTGCTGCGGTTGGGCTTTCCCCGGCACATTCTGCTCACAAGTGTATCAGGACCTTTTCATGGGATGAGATGGGACCAGCGCGGTGCATTAAAGAGTTGTTCTGTAATTAGCTGTGGGATCATGTCATAAATCTCCCTCTCTGGTGAAAAGCGACGAGGCGCAGAGGAAAAGCTGTTTTATCAGCTGTCTCAGACTCACCCTCAGGCATTAGACGACGAAAAAACTGAATAAGATAAATAAATATTATGAAATGAAGCAAGCCATACTTAAGGACACGTGTCGACAGCGGCTGGCTGTTGCTGGTTGGTTGTGTGCGTTTCAGTGAGGTGATGTCGAGACTTGAGACTGAAGAAATGATAGGTTGATAAAGCAGAATGAGAGAGAGAGAGAGAGAGAGAGAGAGAGACACCAACATGGGTTGGTTAATAACTGGGAGTGAGAAATCTTAGGTTTTTTTTCTAACTACTTGGAAGACAGATTTTCTGTGATCTTTTAATTGCACATGACACCAATTACAAGCAAATTGTTGTTGACTGCTGTGCTTCAGTGTAGCTTTAGTTATATTAGTGCCACAGCAGCTGAGCGAGTGAAGGGAGCAGTGTAAACTGTAATAATAATAATGATTGGTTAATCCGAGAGCAGGAGCGTGACCTCATTGAGAAAAATAGCACAGAGTGTCTTCTTTGTTCCAGACAGCATCAAGCAGCAAAAACAAAACAAAAAAAAAAAAGAAAGTATACAACATCAAATCAAAATCTGAACCTATTTCACAACAGTACTGTTTATGGCAGGTGTCTGATAACCTGCATTTACCTTGCAGCTTAGTATCAACTGATGATGTATTGGGTGGGTTCAGTTACATAGTTAACCTGGCATGAATCACCCTCCAGGTCTTACGCCCTGCATGCTTTGGACATGTGTTAGCTGTGTTGGCTCAGTGTCCTGCCAAGAGGCTGCATGCTTCGCTGCAGAGCAGGCTCATGTCAGGGCTGATGGGCCTCTCAGATACACCGGTGTCAGCCCCGGTCTGTTTCTGCCTGTTTGAGTATGGATGGATGTCAGATTGTTTGTCTGTCCCCGTGTCTCTGTGGATTGCATACACACCCATCTGTCTGTCCACTGCTTTATGTCTGACTCCTCATCCTCTCTCTAGTCTGTGTGTCTCTGTTCTCCTGCCCCAGCGTGCACTCTTTGTGCTTGTCTGTCCATTTTCCTTTCCCCTCCTCTAGTTAACATGTGCCAGATGTGTTTTGTCTTCTAACAGCTGTGCTTCAACTGCGGCCACAGGTTCTTAAAAAAGACAGTCAGCATGTGGAGGCCCGCGGCATGTGGGATGTTCTCAGACGTGGCACGAGTCAAGTTCTGTTTTCTGATCTCACTGAGGTAGTGAAGCGGTCATTAAGATGCTTCTTCACATCACACACAGTAATACTATACAACAGGTCCTGCTGTACCATCTGACTGTCCTCACTGTTTTCGTTTCTGTAGAAATTCCTGTAGGTTCTGTGCTAGAAAGTGCAGTGGAGCGTGTTCTTGGTTTATGCATCTGTCCTCTTGTTACTAAGAGTAAATACTCAGAGCTCCACTAATGTTTCCTCCAACAGAAGCAGCATCTGCAACATGGAGTGCAGCATGTGTAATAAACCTGTTGCATGGCCCGTGTTTGTATCGTGAAGACATGAGAAATGCTGGCCCTCTGTTTGGTTTCAGGCACAGTGAAAATTAACCATTAACTCTGAGTCATTATTCACTAGCTGAATCAGGGTATGGCTATTAACTAACACTTTTACTAAAAGTTTCAGCATGGTTAAATAAATGTCATTGTTAATGTTTACCTGGCATTACCATGATACTCCTGTATGTGACAGAACAGCTTGTCCTGGCTGCTGGAACTGAGATTTTGAGCAAAAATTTAGACACAGTTTGGCTTAATCGTTACAGTAATCAGTTGTGCATTGTGGTTTGATGCATTGTTGTTGCTTTTACAAATTATATCACATCTGAGGTGGATATTTAAAGCTATGAGGAGTGATAACAGTTAACCTTTGGTCCCTCTGACAGCATGTGGATGAAAAAACAGAGACGACGCTGCTGGTGCATTTCTTTGGGAAAAAAGGCAAAGCTGAACTGAAGTTTGAAGATTTTTACAAGTGAGTTGGGAAACCCTTTGTCTGCTCTGCCATTAATCATGATGTCCGGGAGAAAGTTATTATCTCACTCTGTAATATTGTCATTTATCATTTTCATACCACATTGAACCTCCAACAGCTAAACCTTTGGTAGTTTTGTTAAGTGTTCCTTTGTGCGTGTGAGTTCCTGGTGGTGGCGTTTCCTGTCAGCAGCTGCCGTCCGTCTCGCTCCTCCAGGTTCATGGACAACCTGCAGACAGAGGTGCTTGAGATAGAGTTCCTCTCCTACTCCAAAGGCATGCCCACCATCAGCGAGGAAGACTTCGCTCGGATTCTCCTTCGCTACACCAACGTGGACGACGTCAGCGGATACTTGGAGAACGTGCGGTACAGCATGCCAGATGAAAAGGTCCGCTGCTTCTCCTTCAGATTCACTCTGTCGTCACATGTTCCCTCTGACAGCTCTCATTCCTCATCATAAAGTACAAGGGGTAGACAGAGTAACAGTAACACCTTACAATATCAAACTTTCAATCAAACTTTGAAACAGCAAAGTTTTGAATTTAAAATTCCAACTTTGTCATCCGTCGCTGACATGAACTAAAAAAACACACAGCAATGTGCAGTTTAAATGAACAACAGCATTTCCAGAGTCGGAGGGGGTTTCCAGAGCTATTCGACCATCTGACAAGACCCTCCAAAGAAGCTTAATTTTTCTACAAACATAAAGCTTACGTGACAAAAAAAAGTCTTCACATGGCTCCTTGTGGCTGTTAGAAGAAAGAATAGTCTGTAGTTATTTTTGTTCTGTTTGAATATGGGACTATCTTCCTCCTCGGTTTCTTTCCATACCACTGTGTGAATTAGCTGTTGAGTGAAGCATCCTCATTTGAGCTTTAATTTGTTTTTCCTCTTGGCATGCTGACCTGCATGAAAAGACGCCAGCAGCTCCTCAGCCACCTCGAGTAGCCTGTTGCGAGATCTCCATTGATAATCAAGTGGGACTCATCATTAGGCTAAGAGATATTTTATGGCCCTCACCGTGTTAAAACAGCAAAGCGTCACAGATTAGTCATTGCTCCATTTGTTAGGCTCTGTGTGTTGCCTGTTCGGCGGGGCCCCCGGCAAGAGAAGGCGCTCGTAGCTGCGGGACGGTCGAGTGGACATCAATAGGCTCAGTGTTTGAGTCATCAGCCAAGCCTGAGATGTTTAGGGATTCATCACTTTTGTTTTTGTTTATGCAAGTATCAGGTTAATCTGCTTTAGAAAAGTTTGCAAACGGCCTGACCTCTTCCCAAAAGCTACAATCCTCCCCCCGCTGCTGACAGCTCAGCGTGTCCATACTGCGCAGGGAAAATCCAGCGGTGTATACTTTGTCTGTTTGGGTGTGTTATCTATCTGATGGCTTCAAGGTCCCACACACACACTAAAGGATTCCCCCGCAGGATGAAAGGAAGCAGATTATTATGTATTGTGTGAATTGTGGCACTTTCTTTGCTTGAGTGTTGACACGTGTAGCCATTTTACTTCATGAGGCACCTTTTTTCTTTCTCATTTCTCATGTTGCATTTCACAAGGTTTGAGTTTCATGAGAAAAGAGACGTTGTTCTATTGCTGTTATCTCTTTGCAGGGAATCACCTTTGAGGAGTTCAGGTCCTTCTTCCAGTTCTTAAACAACCTGGAGGATTTTACCATCGCCATGCAGATGTACAACTTTGCCAACCGCTCCATTGGTCAAGGTACAGGCTCAGATACAACACATACACTTGAGTCACGGGATAGTTTGGTTTTGAGTGAGTTTTACTATTTTTCCTCCTCATGATGAGACCCACACTTTGTTTTTATCTCATGTCTCTGTTTGCAGTTAGTTATGAAGTTAGTTAAATTCATGGATATCTTTAAGAATAGCAGCTGCACTCATGGGGGAAACACAAACTTGCAGAGACGACTGGCTGGACCAACAACGTTTTTTAACTTTCTCAGGGTATAAAGGTGCTAATTTCACCTTGAAAAAAATACAGTTTAGTGAATATCAAACTTCCAAGCTTCTTAATGTTTACACACAGGTGCAGACATACTGTAGAGGATGAATAAAAACATGCTTTCCAACTACAATTTGTTAGAAATTTGTATTTGCTAATGGAAACATTTAATAAACTAATAACCACAAAGGTTTTGCCTTAAGTTTGTTGTCCGAGAGTTGATACGCCTCTTACAAAGACACTTTACTTCACTTCACTGTTTAAAGGTGGAGTTTTGTTTTTTATGTCTCTTATTTACTATTACTTTGTGATTTCATACACATGTTCATTCACCTGTGAACACTACTAATACATAGAACATTACATTCATACTTTACAAACAGCCTGTAACTGTGGCCTCCACTCTTCAGGGAAGGTTTTCCACAAGATTTTGGCACCTGGCTGCAGGGATTTGCTCCCATTCAGCCACAAAAGCATTAGTGAGGTCCAACACTGATGTAGGACGATAAAGCCTGGCTTGCAGAGGGTGTTACAGTTCATCCCGAAGGTATTGGATATGGTTGAGGTCAGGGATCTGTGGAGGCCAGTCAAGTTCTTTCACTCTGCACCAGGAAAACCATTTCTTCCAGTGCACATGGGCACAGTATATCTAGTATATCTAGAAGACATTATACAGCATTATAAGATACTACTGTAAGTACTCCTTCCAAGTAAACTGACCTCCTTGACCTTCACCAATCAATGGAGTGCCCCTTTAATATTTGATGAAGTCCAATAGCTGTCATTGACTCAGGACAAGGTTTGGTGTCTGAGACTGTCCCCCTGTAAATAACAGGTGTGGTTGTAATATTAGATGTTATAATATTGTGATCCTGTAGCTCAGAGTGGAAGTGCTTGCCCACCACTACACACCTTGCCCTCCCCAGTTCTAACTAAAACAGTGTGTGGAGCACTTGTCTTGGGTTGGTCTTTGCTTTTGGTCTTTGTTTCTGAAGGTTTAGGAGCCAGTTTAGGATGTAATGGTCTCAGTTTTTGGCGTAGGTGTAGTTCCCTCATTTAAAGAGGAGCTACTTGATGTCAAAGAGTAAAGCTCGTCATGTGGCTGCATGCAGAGACATAAAAAAGTCTTCTTATATTTTGTCTCATCACTTTAAATGTCTTATTCAGAGGAGTTCACCCGAGCTGTCTACGTGGCTACGGGCATCAATCTGACCCACCATTTGGTCAACACCGTCTTCAGGATCTTTGACGAGGATCACGACGGGAAACTCAGCCACAAGGAGTTCATTGGCATCATGAAGGACCGGCTGCACCGCGGCGACAGGGTGAGACAGCACAGGTCATATAAACGGCATTTATCTCTGTTTTATGACACTGAAGGTGACAGAGGAGATGTGCCCGCCCGGCCTACTCGAGCAGCTGCTCGGAGGCCTGTGAAGAAGGAGAGCAGCACAGGGGTGTTGGTGTCAGGACTACACAGCGGTGTATGTGAAAGATCTGAGCATTGTCTGTCAGCTACTTCTTAATGTGTCATCTGTGTAGAGTTACAAAGAGCTCAGTGATGGACACATGGATGCAAAGTCAAGTCAGATTTAACCTGATGAAGGACAAACAGGCAAATATGGGTTTATGCTGAGCTCAGAAATACATGTTTATTTACAAAACAGGATGCTTTTACACAATTAGACCCACTTAAGCAACTATTATCAACACAAACACCATCTTTCCTGTTTAATTACAACTTTAAGTGAGCGCTTATTATGTCTCTTTTTTCTTTAGGTAATGGTACACTTAAACACTTCCATGGCATCATGTCTAAATTACACTCCTGCCACTTTTTATTAGTGAAACACATCTCACCTCGGCATCTGTGGTTAGTGATTTTTGTGAAATTATACTGCCACCTAGCGGGACAACAAGAAACTGTTCTCATGGTGTTTTTCCCCTATTTCTCTTTTTCTCTCGCTGTCTCTCTGTCACACACAAACACACACACACACACACACACACACACACACACACACACACACACACACACACACACACACACAGAGGGGGCGCGCGGGGGGGGATAGTCGCGCGAAAAGGTCCGCTGCCTTTCTCCTCAATTCACGTCTGACATCGTCAACATATGTTCCCTGGATGACAGCTCTCATGTCCCTCATCATAAAGTACTAAGGGGTAAGACAGAGTAACAGTAAGGCCTTTACAATATCAAACTTTCAATCAAACTTTGAAACAGCAAAGTTTTGAAATTTAAAAATTTCAACTTTGTCATCACGTCGCTGACATGAACTAAAAAAAACACAATCAGCAATGTGCAAGTTTTAAAAATGAACAATCAGCATTCTCCAGAGTCGGAGGGGGTTATTCCAGAGCTATTCGACATCTGACAAGACCCTCCAAGAACCGCATTACAAATAATGTTGTACTCCTAAAGCAAACTATAAATAGCTTATCGTGACCTCTAAAACAGTCTCTGATTCGCAGAACATGGGCATCCTTGTGGCTGTTAGAAGAAAGATAGTCTGTAGTTATTTTTTGTTCTGTTTGAAATATGGGGACTATCTTTCCTCCTCGTTTCCTTTTCCATACACCGAACGTATTATCTAACGCGTTGTGAGAGGTCTGTTCATGAAGCTGAAGTTGCCACTCTCTCATTTGAGCTTTTAATTTTACGCTATTTTCCTCCGTCTGGCATGCTGACAGCCTAGTCATGATAAAGTACGCCCAGCAGCGTCTGCTCTCGAGTGCGCCATACCTCGAGGGTTGTAGTGCCTCGGTTCTTGCGATGATGGGCTGGTCGTCAATTGATCAAGTCCAATGTGGGAACTCATCATTTAGGGTCTGAGAGAGTATATTGGTTTACTGGGCCGCTGCCGAACTATCGGCGATGTTTGAAAACAGCAAAGGCGTCATACAGAGTTATCGTCATTGATGGTCTCACTCGCCATCTCTTGGTTTAGGTCTCTGTGTGTTGGCCTGTTTCGGCGTGGCGCCCCGGGCAAGACGAGGCAGCTTCGCTAGCTGGGGACGGTCAGAGTGGACATCAAATAGCGCTCCAGTGTTTGAGTCATCAGCCAAGCTGAGATGTTTAGGATTCATCACTTTTGTTTTGTTGTTTAATGCAGTATCAGGTTAATCTGCCATTTAGAAATTTTTGCCAAACGGCCTAGAAACCCTCTTCCCAAAAACGCTACACTCCTCCCCCGCTGCTGATCACTCCTTCAGCCGTGTCCATCACTGCGCAGGGAAAATCCAGGCGGTGGTACTCACTTTGTCTGTTTGGGGTGTGTTAATCTATCTGAGTGGCTTCAAGGTCCCCACACACACACTAAGGACTCTCCCCGCAGGATGAGGATAGCAGATGTATTATTTATTGTCTTACTCGTTGGGTGAAATCGTGTTCGTGTGGTCGCGGACTTGTCGCGATCTTTTGGCTCTTGGTGACGTGTTTGAACGATCGCCGTGCTCGGACGTCTGCCTTTTGTATCCTTGCTATGGTGAGGCAGCCGTATTTCTGGTTTCTCCTGTCTCTCAGTTTTTCTTCATGTGCTGGATTTACAGCAAGGTTGATGGTTTGCATAGAGAAAAGAGACACGCGTTGGGATTTTGCTGAGATTTCTGCTGTTAGTCCTGTCTTGTGTGTTTGCTAGCGGTGTATTGAGTCAACCGACTTCTGAGGAGTTCAGGCGTCTTTCTTCTTGTCGCCAGTGTCATTTAAACAACGCTGGATTGCGAGGATTTTTGACCTCTCATTGGTGCCTGATGCAGGGATGTACTAGTGACTCTTCGTTCCAGAATCTCGCTTATCTCAGTTGGTCTCAAGGTCGGCGCTCTCGAGATAGGCTCGAACACTTATGAACAGCTTTGAGTTCACGTGGCAGATATGCGTTTTGGTGTTTAGGATGTTGAGGTTGTTTACTATTTTCCTTCCTCATTTGATGGGAGGACCGGCACCGACGTATTGTGATCTTATATATAGATGAACATTCTGTCTTCGTAGGTGTCTCATTGTCATGTATAAGATGTTGGTCCTTGAGAACGTGTCTTATGGAAAAAGCTTTAGATTCCATTGATAGATTGAACTGTTAAGAATGAGGATGGCAAACACTGCGAGAACTCTCATGGGGGGAGGCTAGACTAGGAAGGACAAGTCAAATGTGCAGAGACGAGATGCTGCCTGAGCCAACAACTTTTTTAACTGGTGTCTCACTCCAGAGTGAACTTATAAAGGGTGCTAAGTGTTCACGCCGTTTGTACAAAGAGGTAAGTGTGTGATAGATCAGTGTTTAGTGGAATATGCAAATTGCTCAAGCTTCTGTAAATTGTGTTAAGGACACAGGTGCAAGACATGACTGTAGAGATGATACTAAATAACCAGGTCTTTCCTCTCAGCTTATGATGTAGTTGTGCATTAGAAGGTGATCAGTTGTAGTATTGTGCGCCCTAAATGGCAGAAACATTTTTAATAAACTAATACCACAAAGGTTTTGCCTTAAGTTTGTTGTCCGAGAGTTTGCATACGCCTCTTACAAAGACACTTTACTTCACTTACTGTATTTAAAGGTGGAGTTTTGTTTTTTATGTCTCTTATTTACTTTATTGTGATTTCACTACACAATTAATGTTCATTTCTTAGCCTGTGAACACTAACTATACATAGAACCATTACATTCATACTTTACAAACAGCCTGTAACTGTGGCCTCCACTCTTCAGGGAAGGTTTTTCCACAAGATTTTTGGCACCTGGCTGCAGGGATTTGCTCCCATTCAGCCACAAAAGCATTAGTGGAGGTCCAACACTGATGTAGGACGATAAAGCCTGGCTTGCAGGGGTGTTACAGTTCATCCCCGAAGGTATTGGATATGGTTGAGGTCAGGGATCTGTGGAGGCCAGTCAAGTTCTTTCACTCTGCACCAGGAAAACCATTTCTTCCAGTGCACATGGGCACAGTCATATCTATATATCATCTAGAAGACATTATACAGCATTATAAGATACTACTGTAAGTACTCCTTCCAAGTAAACTGACCTCCTTGACCTTCACCAATCAATGGAGTGCCCCTTTTAATATTTGATGAAGTCGCAATAGCTGTCATTGACTCCAGGACAAGGTTTGGTGTCTGAGACTGTCCCCTGTAAATAACAGGTGTGGGTTGTAATATTAGATGTTAATATATTGTGATCCTGTAGCTCAGAGTGGAAGGCTTGCCACCCTACACTCACCTTGCCCTCCCCAGTTCTAACTAAAACAGTGTGTGGAGCACTTGTCTTGGGTTGGTCTTTGCTTTTGGTCTTTGTTTCTGAAGGTTTAGGAGCCAGTTTAGGATGTAATGGTCTCAGTTTTTGGCGTAGGTGTAGTTCCCTCATTTAAAGAGGAGCTACTTGATATGTCAAGAGTAAAGCTCGTCATGTGGCTGCATGCAGAGACTAAATAAAAGAGTCTTCTTATATTTTGTCTCATCACTTTAAATGTCTTTTCAGAGGAGTTCACCCGAGCTTGTCTACGTGGCTACGGGCATCAATCTGACCCACCATTTGGTCAACACCGTCTTCAGGATCTTTGACGAGGATCACGAACGGGAAACTCAGCCACAAGGAGTTTCATTGGCATCATGAAGGACCGGCTGCAACCGCGGCGACAGGGTGAGACAGCACAGGTCATATAAACGGCATTTATCTCTGTTTTATGACACTAGAAGTGTGACAGAGGAGATGTGCCCGCCCCGGCCTACTGAGCAGCTGCTCGGAGGCCTGTGAAGAAGGAGAGCAGCACAGGGGTGTTGGTGTCAGGACTACACAGCGGTGATTTGAAAGATCTGAGCATGTCTGTTCAGCTACTTCTTAATGTGTCATCTGTGTAGAGTTACAAAGAGCTCAGTGATGGACACATGGATGCAAAGTTCAAGTCAGATTTAAACCTGATGAAGGACAAACAGGGCAAATATGGGTTTTATGCTGAGGCTCAGAATAATGTTTATTTACAAAAAGGATGTTTTACACAATAGACCCACTTAAGCAACTATTATCACACAACACCATCTTTCCTGTTTAATTACAACTTTAAGTGAGCGCTTATTATGTCTCTTTTTTCTTTAGGTAATGGTACATCTTAAACACTTCCATGGCATCATGTCTAAATTACACTCCTGCCACTTTTTATTAGTTTTTGAAACCACAATCTCAC